CGCGCGGCGTCGCGGCGAGATCGAGAGTCGCGGGAGAATGCCTCGGGGCCGCTTTCCGCGTGGGTGCGAGTGACGGCCATAAATTTCTACGCGGGCGAATTGTGAGTGCGCGGGGAAAAATGCACGTTTGTAGGTTGTGTGTCCCGATGTCCCTCGGACATTATTAATATCCATTATTTTAGCGTGTCGCGCGCGCTCGCGCTAACGTAAACGCACACAGCCGGTGTCGGACGATAGCATCGCGGCTACGTGACGGTGATTCGACGGAGAGACGGTGATCGATCGGCACAACGGGCCAACGACTTGTTCTTTGTAAAATGGCAGAAAACTCGTCGTCGTCGGTGGACACGATCGATCGGCTCAGGCCTGAGCGTATCAGGACATATCTCGAAGCGTTTGGCTAATTGAAAAGGACGACGTCGTGCGTGGGAGTATATTAAGTCGTAGAGTGCGTTGCGCTCTAAAGAGGGTAAGAACCATAAGTTAAACTCACACATTAAACGGAATATAATAGTGTCTTTTTCTTCTCACGCTGCGTCACTTTCGCTGTCACACAGTATGATAGTAATCGTGTGTAAATGTATATTCATGCATATAGAAAAGTATCATTTCACTGCTAAGAAAAGCGATTGCTCAGTTTACTTTTCGTATTTTGAGCAACGATTATTTTCAACAAGAAATATTTACTCTTAACAATAGTCCTAAAATATACTCATCGCAAATTTGAGGAAAGTTCATTGTCACATACTTAAAGAAAAAAATTTTTTTTTATAAGAATTATAAAATATAATGATAAGAATTATTAACATTATAAAACTTTATTCAAGAAAAAATTGTCTCGACTCTACGTAGTAAGGAAATCTAATTTTTGTTCCAATTTAATATTCTTGATTGAAGTGTTAAACATATTAGGATTCAAAATGCATTCTTGTATAAATTTGAAGCTTATTATAAATTTTGATCTGGATATATATAAATTTATAAAATATTTGAAACAAATAACATGTACTTGAACGCGGTATGTATTTTTCTGTGTGTATTTATCTCGGAAATTATGCGTGCGCAAAGGTCCTCTTTTCACCGATCTCAATGGATCATTTTTAATCGTCTTATATGCGGGTGTATGTATAACGGGGAATTAGAAATCTTGATGAAATATTAATTGTCGAAAAGACACGCGGCTGATAATCAGATTAGAAGGTTGGCGGATACGCTAAATACGGGATGAGCGCGCGCGACGCGTCCGGACGAGAGGATTCAGCCGGTCGATTTGGAAGTTGTCGAAAGCGAGATCTATGCTCCGCGGGTCCCCTTTAAGCTACTTATTCCACGGCTTAAACTCGTTGGCGGTTGCTCGGCCGTCGGCAAAATTCGAGACAGGTTCTCAATTTAAGATGGATCAATCCGCGCGCCCTGACGGATAATCTTCTCCGTGGAAGAAACTCGAATTAAAGGGACGAGCCAGTCGAGAGGAGGCAGACGAGATTCTCTTCGCGCCGCACGCTGTAGATTATAAAACTGACATACGTGGATCGCGGGCCATTATTAATTCATACTTCGCTGCGCTCATTCGCGATGAAATGATCACATTACGTTTACGCGGAAAGCGATATTAATTACTGCCGAATGCGTGTAGTAAGGCGAAAGAAACGAGAGAGCGCAGTTGTTTTTTTTTTGCAAATTGTATTCCATGAAAAAATAACAGTTAATCTCGCGCGAGCTAAATAAAAGGGGAACGAGAATTCGCGAGGAACTCGTTTTTCTTATTTCCTTCTTGGGGCTATAAGGGAACGGAAAGGGGGCTCTGCGGCTTCTCCTTTTCTCTCTTTCTCTCTCTCTCTCTCTCTCTCTCTCTCTCTCTCTCTCTTTCTTCATTCCTTCGGCAATGGACGACCGGCACAGAAAGAGAATGAGAGAACGTGAGGGATTCTTTTTTATCGCGTGTGTGCTGCATTCTGCTCATGGACGACTAGACAAAAGAGAGCAGGGGCGCTTCTATAGGGGCGCTTTTTTCCCTCGCTCTCGTCGAGTACGATCGCCGCGAACGGAAGAATTTACCTCGGAATATTTTCTTTGTCGCACAGGAAATTGTTCGTTATCGATTATTTATTGCGCCGCCGACGTCGGCAAAACGCTTTCGCGTTTCCGTGTAATCGCGCTTACCAACAAACGTCGCGCGCGGCTGGAAGATGCATATATCCCCTCCTGTTGTAGTTTAGCGAAAAACGCTAATAAACTTGATGAAGAAACGTCCTTCGACGGAAAAAATAGCCTATCGCAAATTCCGATCGATCGACACCGCGGAAGAGAGTCTCGGCGCGAAGCTACCGCTCGATAGCGGCGATCAGAGTGAATTGTATGACGGGATCTCCAGTGTATACACGAAGGTCGCCTTTTCTCTTTCCATTACGTCTTGATCGTCGCGGTCGCCGACGTCGAAACTCACGATGACGCGCGCAAAGGTGTGAAGTGAAAGGGAACTCGAATTTTTCGAGGAACACCGCGACGTTTGCAAGCGTGTGAGAGAGGTGGTCGTCGCGGGCATGAGTCGGCCGAATCTTTCAATTTGCGCCGGGCTCTGTATTTGAACGAAAACTGGAAAGGCAAACATAGGAAAAAGGGAGGATGAGCTCACCTGAGCATGCCGCGCGTGACCGGGAATTTCGTTCGAATTAGCCTGGCGGAACGTGCGCAACAACAGCAACAACGACAACAACGAGCTCGCCTCGCAAATAACAGGGTGAGCGAAAAATAAGCGCTCGCGAGGGAGATGGCGCGAGAAGGTTTTCCCTTTTCATCTCCTTTTTGCCTCTCTTTTTCATTTCGCGACGCCCAAGGCCTCCGCGCGCGTACCTCGCGCCGATTAATTGCGGCTGATTTTTACTTATAGCAAAAGTGCAAGGTGGCGGCGCGATGGTGTGCGTGGTTAATGGTTATTGGCTCGCGATATTCCGCAAACGGAGGTGCGCGCGTTCGCGCGTAATTCGCGCGAGCGCCGAGTATCGGACTACACATGCACACATGCGACGGTGGGAGGGTCGGACGGACGGACGGCGCGCGGAGGAGAACCTCACTCGCGTCGTAATAATAAATTCTACGTAGCAACGTGACTTATCCGCACCGCTCGCGGCTAAGTGCGCGCAATAATTGTTAATTGTCGACGCTGATACACGCGCCAGATAGCGCGAGTCGCCGCCGCCGTTTCTCGAGCGCTGTACATACTCCCGTTCCAATTCTTATTCTTTACACGCGACGCGCTACCGTCCGCGTGTAAACATCCTGTCCGCGATCATGTGCGAATGACGAAAGTCGCGAAGAGAGGAAAGTATCATGGGCCATTATTTATCTCGAGAAATATTTTCTAATATCTAACAGATGGACGTCGTTAGAGCGCGAGCTCATCGTTAGATCGCCAACGATAAATCTGTGCGTTTCTGGAGAAACGCCGTTCGTTAGTATGGCCGACGCCAACGTAAATATGTTAATCACAGCTGATTCGTTTCGCCGAATAGATAAAACTGCTCGATAATTTCCGAAAATGAGTCGAACGGACGAACTGATCTTTCTTTTTCGTGCGCGAACACTTGATGCCCGAGCGAAACGGATGGCCCCGGTGTGACTCGTAAAAGTCCGCTATTATTACTCTCGTTTCGGCTGCAGTGTCGTAAATACGCGCGCTAACGAACCCACTGAATCTCCACGTTCATTTGTGCCCGTAACAAGCTCCCAAGCTGACATTTAGCTTATCCCCCGATTTTTTCGCTCTGACCTTTGCCGCCTCTCTTCGCGGGTCCTCGTCTTAATATATTATCGCTTAAAGTGTCCCCAGGCGATATCTCGGAGCGGCAGAACATCCGGCGATCACGGATCTTTCTTCGACCGACGCCTCTCTCTTGCGACATTACAAACGGACATGATTCATTCTCATTAATGTCCCTTATTTGCTCATCCTTGCCGCGCGCGCGCGCGCGCACGACTATTAACGACGACGCGGTATTAATCAGTTCGGGCTTGACGCAGCGTTTATTCTCGCGCGCGTACGCGCACGGCGATATCTTTCGACACGCTCGGCGTGCGCGTTAATGAAAAGTACCGAGGACTGAGTTCCCATCGGCTAAGTTTCGTGTCCGCGCGTCGCGATCGCATATGTTGCGCGGATAGATAAACCGCAAGGCGCATTGTGAGTCAATAATCGGGGAGAGAGGATGAATTACAACCTGTCGCACGTCTCGAATGTACCGTCGTCGGATGACTGTTACACGGACAGGATGGACTTAATTAGACGCGTGAGATATGGGACTCGCGACGTAAACATGTGATATTCGATCGCGCGCTCGATCGTCCGAGCAATTTCGGAATGCGAATAAATTAGGCTAATAAGTACGCTCCGACATCCAAATACTCGTGTGTCGTGCCGAATTACATGTGCTCGTGGGCTACTCTCCCCTTTCCCCTTACGGAGCGACAGAAGCTCCCATTCATACGACGAATACATATAATTTCATTACGGAAAGAATGTTTGGTCAGGCTAAGCAAATTTCTAGCAAAATACACACGAAACAGAAAATTCCAGTTGAAGAACCAGAATTCTGTTCATATTAATGAAATTTCTAATTGACTTAAATAGAATTCAGATAGCTTCAACCGGAATTTCCTGTTCTGTTTATATTCCACCGGAAATTTAATTGATCCAATCAAACTTCTTTTCCGTCCACCTCTCATCTGCGTCTTGAATTGATATTTTTTCCGATTCTCTCTAATGATCCGCTGATGTAGGCTGGCGATTAATATTTATGCACGGTATAAATATTAACGATTTCACGGAATCGACGTCACACACGTGCGCCTTCCGGGTATTTACGATGGTATTCACCGAGACACTGAGATCGTCTTCTCGCGAAATCCGCGAGGAAGTGCGTACCGAGTGCTTTCGATCTCGCCTCGAGTTAGCGGTTATTCGATTATGCCGAGCGGAAAAGTCATGCAAGGTATACACTCACCCGGCACGCAGAGACGCTGCAGCGGCGGCGGCGGTGAGCGTCAGTTGTTGGGCAGCTGCGGCCGCACCGGAGGCTGGATCCGCGGCGACGAGCTCTGACAGTACCAGGACCGTCGTCGTGGTGGTCGCGGAGCCGCAATTCGGCACCGTTGCGCTAACCGCGTGGCGCACCGTCGGCGGCAGGTCGTCCTCATGCTGCAGTTGTAATTGCGGATAATGATGCAGATGCAGGGCAGTCGCGGTCGCCGCCGAAGCGGACCTGGGAGTGACGCAGGTTGGCGGCAACAAGCCTGTCGCTCTCGTTACAGCTGACGGAGGTGACGGAGATGGCGGCGACGGCGGTGGCGGTGGATATTCGACCACTTGTACGCGGTCCGCTTCATTCTCATAGATGATTTCCTTATCATGAGTATACATGACCGTTTTCTGACCGTCGTTGTAGATGAGATCGATCATCTTGTGCTCGCCAACGCCGAGGGCCGCGTTGCCTGCGGCTGTCTCGGCGCCGGGGGTCACCCGGCCATCCGGATCGTCCGGAGCGCGTTGTTGAACGTCATCCGGGTCACCCTGGATATGTTGCTGCTGTTGTTGCTGCTGCTGGTGGTGATGATGGTGGTGATGATGGTGGTGGCGGTGATGGTGATGGTGGTACTTGGGGTGAAGCGTGTGCACGGCCGGCGGCTCGTGCAGGTCGAGCACGTTCACCGGCTGCATCGTCGCCAGCAGTACCTGCTGCTCGCTCTCATTTTGATTTTGGTTGCTCAGAGAGGAGGACGCCGGCGAGACTGGTGCCTCCTGCACCTGTAACGTGAGCAAGCAGAGCGCGTTAAGTCGTGGCACGTCGCACGGCATCTCTTCTCTCGATCCGAACCTCTCGTAAAAGAAGAAGTTTGGATCGCGAGATTGCGAATTTTGATAGTGACAAGTTCAAGGAGCGCGTCACGACCATGATACTCGAGCATGAAGCTCGGTATCTCCGAGAGAAAGAGAGAGAAAGAGAAAGACACTCTTTAACTTGCTTCTTGCTCGACACGATTTTATTATGATAGGGAATATCTTTATAGGACTATTTTTTATCGCGTCGCATTAAAATTAAAGCGCGTAAAATTGTAACCCGCATTCGTGAAATCAACGCTCCGTAACCGCGTAAAGCGACATTGTGATGGCGTTAGATCGAGCGATCGAGCGAGCAAGACCTTGATCTTTGCGATCGCGCGCGCACAATGCTGCCCGCGCGAGGGCGTTTCGCGTTTTTTCTTTCTCTCCTTTTTTTTTCCCTCTCGAAACTACGCACTCGTCGGCCGTCGCGCGCAGGCTGATTAAATCATTTACAAGCACAACGGATAGCGGTGCTCGCGCAGCGCTATGGCAGCGCTAATTTATTAATCGCATTAACAGGCGCGCGCGCGCGGGCTTTACGACATTGGGATTTATACGCCCGAGCGCGCTCCCGTCGTCCCGGGGCACTGTTGTGTCGCAACGTCTATAACATTTTCGAATACTAATAACTGCGCCATAGAAATTATATTAATATCTTTGCGCTTGCCCCGATTCTACTTGAGCGAGTCGATGTTAATAACACGTGCAAAAGACGTAGACTCGACACGTCGCAACAAGCATCGATTGCGTGTACCCAGACAGGAGGGGATTACTATCTAATAAGATACTTACGATACGTGCCGACGATCGCACATCGCTATTTCGGCATTGCCGATACTTATTTTCGCAAGAGACTCATTTTCGACGGGCAAAAGACGCGTGAAATGCGCGGAGCAATGTCGACCGATGTATTCATGGTGGCTACTCGACGAAAAGATCGATTTCAAAGATGGCTGCGCAATCGATCGCATACACCGAAAACGCGCGCTACGACGTAAAAAGTGTCGCTTTCCTACAACGACGCGCATCATCTTAAGTCAGCGGCATACGGTGTTTGTTTTCATGCTGGATGGAAATATTTATTTTGATTAGTGTATTTCCATCAATCTTTAAAAATGCATCAATTAGAACAGAGTATTTCCATCCAGCACGAAAACAAGCATAGTATGCCGCTGACTTTATACCGATTTCTTTCTCTTTTCCTCTTGTTAACAGGCTGACGCTATCGCCCCATTGTCGCGAATATATCTAGCGTCGTCCTACCTATATATTTCTCCAATTATCACCGCAGTTCTAATTTGCAATTAAATCCGGCGATCGTCCAATTCTGTTAATATTTTAGTAAGTCAATAGCAATGAGTGCAAAAGACGTCAACTCGACACGTCGCGACAGACATCGATTATATGTGATGGGAAGGAAGGAGATTATTGTCTAATAAGATACTTACGACACGTCTCGACGATCGCACATCGCTATTTCGGCACTCCCGACACTTATTTACACACGAGATTCACTTTTGACGGGCGAAAGACGCATAAAATGCGCGGAGCGATGTGGATCGATGTGTCCGTGGCGGTTGCTCAACGCGAAAAGAGAGAAGATGGCAGCGCAATCGACGACGTGTATCCATAATTTGCGCTTAAACGCGAATAGCGCGCGATGCGATGAAGATGCGTTATATAGTATATCCATCTTTATCTGTCATTCTCTCTCTCTCTCTCTCTCTCTCTCTCTCTTTCTCTCTTTTTCTCCTCGTTCTCTCAGATTGACGTTATCTCCGGAGATTCGACGTCGCGAGTATCTTTCTAGCGTCATTTTACTTCTCCCTTTCCCTCTGATTATCACCGCATTGTTAATCACCGATTAATAAATCTGACGATCGTCCGACCCTACTTACTACTTGAATGATTCAGATGTAACGAGAGTGACAGACGCCGGCTCGACACGACGTGACAAGCACCGGCTGCATATATCGAGAATGACGTTCGAGAAGGATGTTAGTCGCTACTTACGATACGCCCGACGATCGCACACCGCTGTTTCGACACTCCCAATACTCATTTCCGTACGAGACTCACTTTCGACGGGTAGAAGACGCGTAAAACGCGCGGAGCGATGTGAATCGATGTGTCCATGGCGGTTGCTCGACGTAAGAAGATCGAAGATAGCCACACACCTGATCACGTTCGCCAACGTCGCCATAACGGCGCGCTCTGTCGGCGCCGTGGATAAGCTGCTATCCAATAGATCGATAAGCATTGTGGATCTGCCACAATTCGTTTTTAACTGCGCGTTTCTCATCACTGTTAATGAATCCAGTCATACGTCATGGATGGCGCGCACATTTTCGTCGAGCGTAAACGCTATTACCACGTCGATTGACATCGCTCCGCATGTTTCACGCGTCTTACGTGTGTCGAAGCAAGTCTCATACGAGAATAAGAGAATCGGGAGTGTCAAAAATAGAGCGATGTACGATCGTTAAGACGTATCGTGAGAACGTTATCAGGGAGTAATCTCTTCGCGTCTCAGTAGATGCAGCCGGTGCTTGTCGCGACGTGTCCAGTCGGCGTCCGTCATACTTGTATCATTCACTCACTATAGTAGTAATGCGATCGAAGGATCGTCGAATTTATCAACCGAGAATTAGAAATGCGGTGATAAAGAGAAAGAAATCGATGATATGATACTAGAAGTATTCGCAACATCGAATCTCGGGAGTCGGTCCGTTAACAAGAGACAGAGAGAGAGAGAAAGAGGAATATAGGGTGCGATTAGACGCTGTAAATGTTCTGAAACGTTCAAAATCATAATTTATCTTCAGAATATTTATAACATATAACGGACTCATAGTCGCATCTAATAGTCATAGTCGCATCTAATATTTACGTCGCAGCGCGCATTTTCGGCGTATTCAATCGATTGCGCGGCCATCTATGAAATCAATCTTTTTGCGTCGAGTAGTTACTATGAACACATCGATTAACATCGTTCCGCACGTTTTACGCGTCTTTTGCCCATCGAAAGTGAGTCTCGTGCGAAAATATGTATCGGATGCGAAAATATGTACAGAAATAGCGATGTGCGATCGTTAGGACGTATCGTAAGTACATTATAAGGGAATAATTTCCTCTTAGCGGATCCTAGGAATTACCTAGGGAGAGGAGAGCGTCGAACGTCGAGCGTTAGATAGCTCAGTGGTTTAGAGCAGTTGCTCGGCAAGCGAAAGACTTGGGTTCGAGTTCCGGTCTAGCTAGCAAACCGCGCTCTTTGATATTTTTCTCTCTTCGGGACGAAAAAGACGCAGCTCCGGAACGCACGGCGCGTCCCGCCGCCACCTAAGACGCCCTTCTACTTCTATGGATCCTCGGAGTTAGACTGATGTCTCTTCGTCATAATTAGTCGTCTATACTAGGTAACCTAACCTACTCTAACTTGACCTAACGCGCATTGCGGAACTCTTGCAGCACGCGCGAAGATCAAATGATTGAACGCGCGCGATTCGGATAGCTTCTACTTGTGATTTGTCATCGCGGCGAAACTACGAATCCTTCTGACTCGTTGCGAAATTCAGGAAGGATTAACACGCTCAGGCTTTCATTTCCAAGACGTTGGTAATCTATTCTCGTTCTCATTACCTAACCGTTTGACCGACGCTTCTTGTGTCGCGACTTGTATTGTACTCGAAGATCGCGCGTTACGCGGCAAGTTTTCACCTCGGCTGTCAGGCGAAAGAGTCACGAATGGATTGGATGCAACCGGAGAACGACTCCGGTTGGATAATGTCGTTAGATAATGCCATTTTCCTCTCAGCTGGTCAAAAATATTGTTTTCACCGCGCGCGTTCTCTACGAACATCTCGAGTGTTAGTTTTCTTACACGAGATGGGGATATCGTAGAATAAGGTCGCGAATGTTTCGAGAGATACGGAAGTAGATATTCAGTAGTTGACACAGAAATAGAATAAACAGGGAAGGGGGAGAAAAGCCTTGAAATTTTGCTGGAAAGCTTATTATAATGGGAATGCAGTAAAATTTCACTTCAAATATCACTTGAGAAGAAACGTAAACGAGCATACATTCAGCGGGCAATTTCTAACGACTCATCACTTCGCCGATACGCCTATCCTACTATCCCCGAAGTCAGCTCGCGGAAATCCTTTGACCCGTATGAATAAGGATACGGTACAGTAACGATGTCGTTTGAAATTTCCCACGTGTCGCCGGATTATCATGCTTTCTAGCCAGTAACATAAGTTATTGAAGAATCTCTCTTTCTCGTTGCTTCCCTCTGCCCCTCCCGCGTTTCTCTCTTTCTTTTTTTTTTTTTTTTTTTTTTTTTTTTTTTTTTTTTTTTTTTTTTATTTCTTACGAAAACCCCCGAGACCTCGAGAGCTGCCCGACGCCACACAGTCACCAGCGACATCATTCGTAACGTGACAGCGAGCGACGTGGCAGCGCTGTTAAGGCTCGTGCAGCAGCTCGCGCCGCACAGCGATGGTTTCCGTCAATTAACATAATTAACAATATTATGAATCATCCTCTTAACGTCCAGGCTCGCGCACGATCGCGCACCGAAGGTGCACGTGAGTTACGCGCGCCGTTACTCCGAGCGCAAAAATCCGTCCCTTCATCCTCTCCCCCGATTTCTCTACCTCCTCCTGCGATTCTTTCATTCCTCTTTTTCTTTCCTCATCTTGCCCGTTCACTTACTTACTTATTTTCTGCGGTGTACGCGGGACTTAATCCCGAGTGTCACCGGTTCCTATATTTCCTCGCGTTGACCGTCGTAAATTCAGACGCCGATGAATAACGCGACTCTACGATTAAGCGCGAGGATTAGCGCGATGAAATACGGTCGGGTGAGTACGGGCAAAATCGTTAATGGACGAACGAGCCTCTGAATAGACCACACGTGTCTC